CCCAGTGGAGTGACAACACATTAACGGGTCCAGGCACCCGGCGATGTAGTCAGGGCCGCCAACCCCTACCGGCAAATCGGGACAGTCCCTGAGGGTCGCCGGACCCCCGTTTCCTCCGTAGAAGGAACTGTGCGCTCTTAGCACCGCGGAAAGACCTTATTCAGACCATCCCACGGTGAGCCCCCTCACCACGTCAAGGTGGCGCACAACGAGGGGATAGCGGAATACACCTCGTTTGAACGTATTGTCACCTTTATTTTTATTTACAGTTTTTCAATTTCTGTTATAAACAATAACCTATGAAAATGCTGATATTTGTAAAATCTTTCCGTTTTTTACGCAGTATTTGACTGTATGTTCGACTAAGGATTCCCAACACAATGTATTTTCCAATAAGTCTTTTAAAGAAATATTTCAACGGTAATTATTCGAATAGCATCGTCCGTTGAATCGTCACGACCTTTTATGTTAAAGAACTTATAATTTAACCAGATAACAAAATACAATTATTTAACAGAGTTTGATTAATACACGATTCCGACTCGACTGTCTCTCTATTACTATTGCAGTTTGCAACTGTTCGATGAGAAACGACGATAGAGAGTCCTTTTGGTTCGCATGTTATCGATAAGGTAAACTTTTTGGAACCTTTTTGAATTAACGAAAAAGCTCCCCGTTTCCTTTAATCGCAGAGCGAGAGCGCGCCCACGCAGAATCGATTCTCGCTCCCGTCGGTTGACGGTCGTTTGATTGCTTAAAAAATCAACTCAAAATAAGCAACTAATTCTGAGCATAAACGGATTACATCTGTTTTATTATTAACAAATAACAAAGCATTAATTTTTGTGAAGATATTATCATCGACTTCATTCACAACACTTTTAGCGTATAATAATCATTATTAAAATATGTACAGGATTTCTCGCTCAATGTCGGCGAAATGTATCTTTTCCCAATTTAATCTTATGAACGAATGTCTATTGTTGCGGCCTTCAATATCATTACGCCGGACATGACGCACCGTGCAACACGCGATATTATTCGAAGAGCCGAATTATGCATTCGAGAAAGAGGACGGCATTTTGAGCAGTTTCTGCATTAAACAATGAGAGTGAATTAGACTATTGGAGAAATCACTATAAAAAAACGCACTGTGCTATCTACCGCAAGGTAGTGTGGAAACGATAGCGCTTTGTTGAAAGAATGAAAAAAATTATTTTTCGGTGTGCGATATTGAGTCATAAATCGTTCGTTTTTCATACATGCACATACGTATGTATGCACAAACATATTGTACATTTCTTTGCATCATTAAATTTTATCTTGTTTATTATAAAATAATAAAGACAATTATTCAAAACAAACGTCTAGCGCGACGCGCTGCTCGCCGCTCGCGCGTAGCCATGCCGCTTGCAGTAAACAACTCCCCACGCGATTAGTGTTACGTGCCGCAACTTTCAGTTTCTTAGATTACTCTGTTTATTCGAACCTTTTTTATCTTTACTCCTTCTTGATCCTAAACACATAACCCTTCGATAACTGCAACAAACATGGGTTAACCTAAACGCTGTCCCTATGCCTAACGCATATTTTCTCTTTGATAAAACCGCCTCCTTCCAATAAACATTCCGCCGCTACGATTTTCCTACAGCACCTTAAACGAAGATCATTCTCGCCAGTTCAGTTCTCGATCAAAGCTCAAACCAGGGTAATTATGCAGAATACCCACGTCACCTCCGATTTTGACCCAACTGGTCTCATTCGATGCGTTTTTTCTTTTAAAAAACTTTTCCTTTCACTAAATTGTCGCTCTGTCCCAGGAGACGAGATATTAAGCGTCAAAGTTGACGACTTTTCAGGTTAAAAAACCTGTCACTTTGACGAATTATAGCGATGTGAGCATACGCTGCGGTCAGGCGCGCATGCGTTGTAACAGAATTGTGCGCGGATAATCATTAATTGCAAGTCACAAACCCATATAAATAGTATAATTATGGACCTTGCTTTGCGTAGACACAGGGTATTCCGCACCCCCGCAGGGGGTATTCTGCATAATTACCCAAACCAGCAACACTGAATAAAGACTTTTTCCACAAACGTGTCCCGACTTATTCTAAATAATCTATTATGTAGCTATACGCACGTAACATTAGCAGCCGTGATCGCTGGGCGGTCCTATCTCGCTATACGCTCGTATTCGGTGATTTTTAATAATTAATATCTCGTTAACCTTTGCGAAAATTGCAAAGTGGTAGAGGACTTTTTAGCTTAGTTTGGTCTGCTCTACCGGCACACGAGCGCTTTGTCAAAAGAAACGGGACACCCTGTATATATTGCGACGTGTTTTGCCTTGCGAGATGAAAACGCGAAGCGTCGGGTCTTCGAACGCGAATAAATATGAGCTACCGCCGCTATTAGCCGAAGTACGCGAAAACGCGACACGAAGTTAGGCGCCAGACGCAGATGCGTCAGCTCTTCTCCGTGCAGAGCTCTTCCGATCGCGAAATCCAAACTCTTATTATATCAGGATATTTAATTCGGCAGCGACGGGCTCGGCAAGCTCAACCAAACGGTAGAGGGGCAAGGCGGTGAGCTGGGTACGCGAAATAACAAGTTGAGATTAGACAAACACAACGGAACACATGAAAGAAATAATATACGGGCGTTTACCAAATAATATAAAATAATAACAGATTTATTCGAATCAAAGAAATGGATAACAGCCGTGAAAAGTAGAATAAAAAGAAAAATAAACGAAAGAATAATTGTTAGAATAACGAGATTTGATAATTGGTGAAGAAAGGAGTAAATTAAAAATTTCGTTCGCTATCGAGAATTGTTACTTAATCTAAAGCGGCTCGAATAGATCCATCCAACGAAACAAACTTGAAGAGCCTTTGCCTAGCGGAGGATCTCGAGCGAAATTAACCTACGGCGCTTTACAATGAATAGAGCTGTTCCAAATATAAAAAAAATCGTATTAATTGGTCCGAATCTGGCACGCAAAACGCATAAGTTCGCGGGGCTACAAAGCACGAAAATCAGCCGACGCGACCTTACCTAATAACTAACGAAACCGAATTCTTCCCGAATACGGCTCATATACGCAATACGTGGACGCGAATCTTTAACACAACGAGACGGACAGCACAACACAGAATTACACTCACGCAGTGCTCAAGATCGAGCATCCTGCAACAGAGCAACATGAGGAGAACGGCCCCACCATGCGGGCACTACACAAGCGAGAACCGCACGTCACGCGTCCGTGTGCGCACGCGTCTGCGTAGCATGCTATGGTTGCGTTCCGTTTCGCACATTATGCGCACGAATTACATAGAAAACGTTCCGTTTCACTCAATGCGCGCATGAACTGCGCTTAGAATTCCCTAGATCCCCACCACCTGCAGCGCATAATACACGCATCAGCTACCTCAAGTTTGAGTTGCAGCAGCTTATGCGTTCCATGCGATTGCGTAATTGCATATGGCGATTGATAGCGATATTGTAAAAAGTGTCAAAATAGGAAGAGTTATAATGGAAGAGTCATTGATGATTCACTACTATTACTGTCACTCATTTCATCAATTAAAAACATTGTCACATTGATAGCGCAATTTATTGTGGAATCCATTTTGATTTTCCGTTTCTAATGCGTTCAATATCGTTCCGTTTCAAAGCATGTATCATGCGCATAATGAAACGAAACGCAGCCAATGCGCTAAGCATTAGCGATGCGAACGATGCGTGCTATGCGCAAAACGGAACGCAACCATAGTTCAATGGTCCAACCGTGCTGTAGCGTTTCATTGTTGGAAAGCACCAAGATCTATAGAGAGAAGGTTACCTCACGCGCAAAGAGGGACGAGCGGCAAGAGGGGCAATGATGATCTCATCGGCAAACAGAAGCTATCTCAGACAGCTACTGTTTGTCGATGAGATCATCATGCTCTCCTCTTCCTTCATCGCCCTTCGCCACCAAGCTGTCTCTAGCTCCCCCCTTAAGCTGGTTCTACAATAAGTTGCAAATGCCCCGTCACCGGTCGCGAAGGATGGCAACTACTAATTGGAAAGCGCTATTTCTAGTTATTTTTAGTAAGACGGAGCATTCGCGACTGGCGACGGAGTATTTGCAACTTATTGTAGAACCGGCCTTACTTCATCGTCCCTCGCCCACAACCGGTTTTCCTGAGGTAATCTTCTCTTTATAGATCTTGGGAAAGCACCGTGTCTGACACCGTGTCGATTTGTATCAAGACACGGACTAAGGAATAGAGGGACTGAGTCTAAAGTCCTAGTTTAGGCGAGAGGGGATGGTAACTCAAGCGTGCGGGGGGGACTGCTTTCCGCCATATTGATGTAGCAATTCTCACACAGAGATTCTGTGTCTGTGACATGGTTACACTCGTGTAGTGGTGCCACTAGACATAACGAGTGACAAGCATAAAGAGATTAGGCGATTTTATTATTGTTGTATTATAAATTTTATAAAATACTTTAACTTTTATTACTCTGAGGCTCTGCATACAGTAGACAAAATATTAGAAATAGCAATAAACATTTAATATTAAAAAGAGAAATTATTTTACATCTAACAAGAGAATAAAATATATTAATTAGTTCCAATTTTTA